GAGTAAACAATTACTCTTAAAAATTGTTTCAATATGCTCAATGCATGAGCATAATTATGTTTGAAGAATTGAAGCCTGAAGGCGCAAGATGTAACTTCAGAGGTGCTTAGTTTTTTCCTCTGCTGTTCCAATGTTTAGTACAGCAGATTTTGTTGTCATATGCTATTCGTTTAATAAAAAGAACTCCAAATGTATGACCCTTATGTGAAAAAATGCATTTTGTTAGCCAAACCCCCAAATAATCGCCCCTCTTCATGATTCTGCTCAGGCACAATCTGAAGCCCTTGTTTTTCATAATATCCATCATATTCTTGTCAATTAAAAAAAAAGATTCTGTTCATCAGCTTAATCACTTGAATCTGGAATGGGACATCCTTTTGCTTTTTGTGTAGATTAAAAAAATTATGTTGAATTTGAAAATGGAAGGAACAGTTAACCAAATCTATTTGGATTGTGCATTTAATGTAAATATGTCTTTATTTTATGGAACTTAGATTTTTCTGGTGGTGACACTTTCCCTAACCTTCCAAAATGTAACAATAACAGAGGGAAGGTCTGTGCCATCTCAGCGTAAAGGGCAGCAAAGAAACTTTGCCAAGTCTGCAAACATAATGACTTACCTTCTAATTTTCTACAGAAATCTGGTGTTCATGAAGAATGGGAAGCAGCACAACCTAGCAGTACCCAAGTACAAGCTATTGACATAGCCTGTTTTTTAGGAGACTGATTTTGAACGCGGTGTCAAACTGGAATATTTCATGTCTGGTTTTGATATTAAAAATGTCTTCTCTTCCTCTTAAGCTTGTTCTTAATTAAATTTCTTTACAATTTAATGTTTAATGTGGATTGCTTCGTCTGCTGACTGACTTCTGACCTTTTAGAAAGTGTGGATTACTTTCTCAGGAACATCGTTTTCACAGAGGTTTTTTTTTTTTTCCTAATTATCCCTGTTTTTTAAACAAACCCAATCCTTTCTCCCCCTATTTTGTGTAGTAGATGCTCCAAAAGTTTGGAAGTATGTAGTTCAGGCATCGTTGCTGTGATGATCTTTGTGTTTGTACCAGATTGTCTTCACTGCATTTCCAAGTTTTATTTTCCTTTGAGCCACGGAAAGATTTGTTTTGCAGTGGACAAGAAGCATTCTAGAACTTGGTATGTCAGTTGTGTAACAGTTTTATAGGAACTTTGGCAGGAATGTGCTGTGTTTCTCATACAGGATGAGGAAGGGAAAATTTAGTGCGATGCACCTGTCAGCTTTTAAAGATGACTTGTTTAATTTTCCTGATGCACACATGTGTTCCTCCTAAGCTTTTGCTTGATGGGATTTGAACATTGGTTCTGGCTTGCGAACCAAAGTGATTTCCTCTCTGTGTGTTTCAGAATAGCCTGTGTCTTTGGGAATTCTTTGTGCAGACCTTTCTGTCTCCCAAGCTGGTGCTAGTATGTATCTGGTCTATAGAAAGTACTTAAGCCCTTGCAATTTATTAAATAACTGAACTATTTTTAAGTTTCTGGTATGTTTTCATAAAGCTTTGTTTAGGAAGTGAGGTTTCCAAAGCAAGCAAACTTTGGACCCTCGGTGTTTAAAAACAAGCACATCCTTTGTTTTGAATGTTAATGCAACCATCCATTGTCCTAAATAAAAAGACTGCTAGGAACACGGTCAGGCATCCTTAGATGATCTAAATCCTTTACTTCACTTCTCTTGTATAAGTGCATCTGTCTTCCAAAATACTGTTGTCTTTTTGCCAAAGTGCTGAATTACATTGCCAATTGTTGTTTTTTTTTTTTATTTTTTTTTTTTGGTGTTTTATCAGGGTTATGTGCCTCATAGATACTGTGCTGCTTACAGATTACAATGCTTCATGCTGCTTTTGACAAGCACAGGTTCCAAAAAAAGTCAAATCTCCTTTCTTTCACAGAAGAATTTCTGTCTTTTCTAATATGGACTTCCCCAAGTTAAAATGCCTCATTTGCAGAATCTTGCTTTATTGCTGTCTTTCTGACTTTGTTTAGTGTTTGAGATACTCAGAATGAGACAGCTGACTGCTCTCCTGCGTGTGATCATTTATGGATAGAGAACAGAAAGTCAGCATGCTCCAGTTTTCAAATATTGTTTGCACATGTTTTGGGGATGTATCTCTACTGCAGGTAAATGATATTTCTGATGTTATGGCGAACTTTTTATCTACTTAAAAAATACACTGCAGTCATTAGCATTAGGTTTTTCCTGAGTCATCGATGGCCTGTTATGAAATGTGGTTTCTAGAGACCTGTTTGAAGAATAGCGTTTTAGATTGTAATACCAACTGGATAGATTTATACATCTGAAATTCATTTAACCTTTATATCAACTACCTTTGTACTTAAAGGCTAATTTTTCGTGCCTAATTTGCACATGCAGTTACTGTGACCAAGTAGGCAGTTATGGTAAAAATCTGTGCAAACAGCAGGCCTTTCATCTAGATCAGCTTTACACCTTCTACCACCATAACAGCAAAGTAGGAATTTCATGAATAAGGGAACAGAAATAAGCACACCTGGCTTTGAAAAAATCTGTGCCTGATGTCTTGGGTTTCTGTAGCCTAAAATCTTCTTGTCTGACTTTACCCTATTAGGTTGTTACTGATTTTCCATGCTTTCCTCTGAAGTCATGTTCTCTCCATGAAGGTAGTGGTGTCTCTATACAGTATTTCATGGCCATTCCTTATCACATTGATTAAATGATAGCGTTTGTGATCAGTAAGTAGAAGGTCATTTCCTGTCTTCCCTCAAGAGAGCGATTTCTGGGATGTTTAATGTCACAATTCTGCCATTCATCATCTTTCTCAAGCTCTTGTCCTACACGGCTTGGGTCTTCTCTTGTGCACAGCTCACTGCATCTGATATGTCTTTTCTCAACTAATTTATATTGCTTTTGTTTTCCCTCTGAATTAAGTGACATCCTGGACTATCCCATGGATTACACTGTAATAGTTCGAATTCCTAGCTAGACTGCTTTTCTGAGAGTTTTCTCTGACCTACAGTTGCTTCAGTCACATCTCCAAACAGAGCAGCATACAATGTGAAAGTCATTAAAATGTATTTGTAAATGAAATACGGACACTTTTTAAAGGCACCACAGAGCATGTGACTGTGTTTTATGTAGGACTACACAAGAACTTTTGTATGTTCTGACAGCTGAAATTGCATAAAGAGTTAATGCACAACCGTTTTTATTGGACACTTCTACAGACATCTATAAATGCATTTCTCTGTGTAGTGCATATTAGTAATAGATTACGCTGAGAAATGTGGTCTTGGTATTCACAATACAGAATGTGCTTTCCTTTTGCTGACACCTATGGAAAGCGAACTTGCACAGCAGCAGATAATTTCAGTAGATTTTCCTCCTTTACTACTCCCACTGCCTTTTTGGACACATAATATAGGGGTTGTAAAGAAATCTCTCAAGTAACATGCTTGCTGTTGCTTGCCAGTGAGAAGTCTCGGGGCCTTTAAAGTGATTTTGAATTAGGTTTTTGGTGCCAGTGTTTTCCTCCTGTATGTTCTCTAATTTATTTCAAACTGCTTTTTGAACAGATTATAGAAAGTACTATCTGGAGTGTCAAAAAATGAACGTGTTTAAAAAATTATGATGACATAAGAGATAAAGTACTGTGCTTGACTGTGTTAGATCAGTAACCAGCAAATTGCAGTTTCTGAGGAGACTGGGCTCATTTGTAATACAAAGGAAGTACAAAGCTCTTCGTTTGTGTGAACCTGAAATTTTGTGGCTGTAGGCTTCAAATCATTTGTCTGATACCAAAAGGAAAATGCGACTCTTACAGAGATCTTTCAAGCATAGTTATGTTGAGTAAAAGCATTTATTATAGCTTTGGAATGTTTAACTGCAGTATTGCACATCTAAATCCGGAAAGTACTGAAGTTTTAGAGAATGTTATAAATGTTCACATAGCTCTGTTTTAATTCCTGGGGTTTGAACCTTTGGGTTTACTTTCTCAAATGTGGTTTTTTTCTTTCTGCAGCCACGTGGATTATAAATTTCTCTTAACATACAGGCAGATGCTCTCAACTGTTGATGCTTTATGCAAAATCTAAACCACTTGGAAGCTTACAATAAAACAGTAAAAGTATTTAGCAGTATGAGGAGGACCTTGAAACAGCTGACAATGCACAACACTTCCTTCCCAGTTTTAAAACCTTTTGCCCAGATGTTGAAACAAGTATTTTTTGCCATACCTGAAATAGTCTTTTTGCTCCCTCTGTTTCTTGGGCTTCCATTTTGGGTGCACATGATAATGAACCTGGTTTGAGTTGGCAGCAGGACTCAGTCTGTATGAGCTTGGTTTCAAAATACTCGGCTCAACTCATGAGCAAATGTTGTGTTTGTTTAACAGCTTGGCAACTTAGCACCAAAGGCTGGAAAGGGTGTAATGTGGCTCTTTAAATGACTTAATACTAGTGGTAGCATTTTTAGAGGATTCTAATTTTGTCTTGCGTTTTTATTGGATTCTGGTGAATTTTGAACTGAGCTTTAAAAGAGGTTTGCCCTTTTTTTATAGGGAGCTTTATATTGCTTCCTACTTACCAGATGTGTATATATTGTGGGGCACTACCAGTGAGAAAGAAATCTTTTTCTAATTTTGGCTTTGAAGTGGTGGATCTTTCCGTTGGTTAATGTTGCACAGCTTTAATGTAATAGTGCAGTTTCTATGGACAGAAGTGTAGATTAGGAAATTTCTAATATTCTGATCTTTAAAAATACGTAACTATGTGGTTACTTAATTTTGCTACTTGTGGTTATTTAATTTTGTGAATAGTTGTTGAAATTGCATCACTGTATGGCTTTGGCTTTTTTCATAATGTCATTGTATCCCTTTAGGCAGTGTCAAGGACGACACCTTTTGTGTGTGACAGTGTGTGCCATCTATGCGTTTTCTGGAAAAAGTACAGATTTATACTGATTTTCAGCCCTTTGTGTTTTTCTCTAATTACAGGTCACCTATTTTACAAATTCGGGATCACAGAATCTGACTGGTACAGAATCAAGCAAAGCATAGACTCCAAATGCCGAACAGCTTGGAGGCGGAAACAGCGAGGGCAGAGTCTTGCTGTGAAAAGCTTTTCAAGACGAACACCTTCATCATCATCTTACAGTGGTTCAGGTGAAAAAAATATACAACCCTCTCCTCAACCCACAGTAACCAAACCAACCCCAACAGAAATTGAAACTTATGGCAATAATGCCGTTTGGTTTTCAATATACCTGAAAATTAGCTTGATCTTAGTTATAATTACAACAGGTGTGTGTAGTACCTACAAATGTGGATATTTTTGCCTTACAAAGATAAGTAGAGAAACCCATGTTTCTCACAATTGAAGTTTCGGGGTTGGTTTTATATTGTTCTGTATTCTTTTCTGGAAGTACCATTTATCATTGGTGAAGAGGCCTCTCTATTACAGTGCGTGTATATCTATAGTGCTTCTCAAGGAGTGTATCCGCGTACTAAGTGAAGCTATCCCTTCGTAGTTAAATCATCATGGGCCTTCAGTGGAAGCCAAGCACCTCCTGGGGTGGTTGGCTTCCACCAGCCTTGTGGTGCTTGTATCGAAGTAGATCACTGGTAGAATGAGATTCTAATCCTGTTTCATCTACAAATTGCAGTCATGCTCCTGGTTGCAGTCCATTAATGATCCTAGAAAGGAAGTGAGATGTGTGTATGTGTGTTCACAAGAAGAAGGAAAAGAGAGTCTGTCTCTAAAACAGTAGTAACCTATGGATTTGCCAGAAATTAATGTAGTACATTCCAGAGCGAGAGATTGGCTTTGTGGGTTTGTATGTTATCTTGAATGCCTGGCTTCACTGAGATGCTTGAGAACATCCATCTCCATGTGTTAACTGAAGCACATGCAGTTTCATGCTATGATATGGGTTTTTTTTTTACCATGGTATTTTTTTTCAGTAGAGGGTCAAAATGTTTCTGCAACTGACATTCATAAAAGGATTCAGGTGAATACATCTTCCTTGGTGTTTTCACACCATTTAGTAGGACGTGCTAAATTTTGTTCCTGAAGTGTTTTCCTCTGAAGAATTTAAATATGTTGTAGGTGATTCTATATTTCCATATAGGTATGCAGACATGATTAATAATAACAAATGAAAAATACTGGCCTAAGAAGTGTTCTCATAGGACGTTTCTGGCTTATGCTTTTAATATAAAGCAGTGTTATGGGACATTTGTACGTCATATATTAAAACCAGTGTTTTGGAAGCAAGCCCAAAGAAAAGGAAGTAAGTTTATTTGCCTGCATAAAATTTTTGGTTGCATGTTAACACTAACCACTGTATCTCATGCAAAGAATGCCAAAATCTGCTTTCAATGGAAAATTTTATGTGCTGGAACTGGGAATCGTATCCAAAATTCTCAAATTAAAACAACTAATCAACATAATGATAACCATAAGCCATATATATGTTAATGGGATTTTTATTTTCAGTCTCTAAGCAATCAGTATTTTAGAATAAAAATGCAGTAGTAAGTGGATATTATGGGCCTGTGCTCATTAGACTGTCCTCCTTGACTGTTGTTAAGGTCTATTATTAAAAAATATTAATCTTTAATCTCCTTGTTTTGAGATTTGGGGATACCTTTGTAGAGATGTAAAACATACTCAGGCTCAATGAATTCTTGTCTTCAGAAGGCCATGAGATAATAAGTTTTGGTGGGTTTTTTTTGTGGGTTTTTGTTTGTTTGTTTGTTTGGTTTTTTGTTTTGTTTTGGTTTTTTTTTTTTTGTTTTGTATTTTTTGCTGTTGTTGTTAAGCTGAAAACTCAGATTTTTCCCCCCCATGCAGTTCCACTAATCTGATTTATGTGTAAATTGTTCCCTGGGTACAGGGACACATGAATTAACTCCTGGGATTTCAGCAGTGTGCTGTCTGTGCAGGTGGGAGTAGTGAGTGTGGACTCTTATGGGCTGGTCCTGCAAGAGCCACCTTGGTGTTTTGGGTTGTGTGCCCAGGCTCCTTCATTCAGCTGGAATTGAGCTGGCTGCCAGTGGTGTATCAATATCCATGATTTTCCCAGGAGTTATTGGGCCGCCTGTGTGTGTCCCCTAATAGCAAAGAAGTGGCTGCATGTCCTTATAAAGATGTCTTTGGTCCAGAAGATGATGAAGTTCAGCTGAGACATCTTGGCACGTCATTGGCAGGGCTGTATAGGCTGTGCAGCCAAAAGCAGAGTACCGGCAATAACATTAACAGCTGCCTCTGGTAACGGTATGTGAAAATGTTCCCATGGATCCAGAGTCTTTTGTTAATTTTCTTTAAAATACTGCTCTTACTCAGAATGTCATTGGCATCATTTTCTGGGAGGCCGTAAAGATGTTAGATGAATTCACCACTGCATTCGCACCCATGGTGAAAAAGCTCTTAGAAAAACAGACCACTTTTCCAGAATCAGGTGGTCCTTTGCAAAACTAACTTGCATTCCTAAATCAGGTGGGAATGGTATCTCACCTGAAGAAAGAAGAGAAGGTATGAGGAAAACAGGAAAGTGGGTTGAGAGGCTGAATAAGCATACAGGGAGAAGAAAAGATGTAAGGGGAAAGAAACAGGAGATTACCACATGTTTAAAAGGTAACTTTTGCATGAGAGCTGCAATTCCACTGCTCTGTTCGGGTAACTTCGTGAACTGCTTAGACTTTGCCTTTGTGGCTTCACATCCCTGGAACCCCTCAGTGGAATTACAGCATCATAATTCACAGGCATCTGTTCCTAATTATACATACTGTACAGTTGATATAGCAGAATTCC